TAGTGGTCGGGAAATCATTGGCAACATGTGGTGAAAACTTTAAGATGTTGTCACACTTTAAGTTGCTCATAAGCTGTTCAAAGAGAAAGTACTCTGACGGCAACCGTTCTGAAAGGAATTGGAAGGTGAGGGCCTAGACTTTTTTAATCACAGAAATATCTTCCTCCGATGAGCCATCAAACGCTCTGTCCGTGCAAAACGCAGACACCCTGCAGGGAAAATATCATGTCAGAAAACAGGGAACGTGGAGGAATTTGGGCGCTTTTGCCTGTAATGTACAGGAGAAGGAAGGTGAGGGCCTAGACTTTTTTTATCACAGAAATATCTTCCTCTGATGAGCCATCAAAACGCAGACACCCTGCAGGGAAAATATCATGTCAGAAAACAGGGAACGTGGAGGAATTTGGGCGCTTTTGCCTGTAATGTACAGGAGAATGAGGTCGGGACATAACGCATGCCACATTCAAACCGTTATTTAACATGCTTTTTTTTTTTTACATAATTGTGAAAATTTATTAAATGTCATCTGGTGATAGAGTACCTGATGTTCTAAGATTCCAGTGGTGGAAATTTTTTCTGGCCAAACATGCCATCTTGATGTGTGAAAACCTATTCAACTAGTGATTACACTGGACTCTTGAGAGTCTGGAAGCAGATAATGATCTTTTCTGAAGTTATCTGTGTGGATTATCTCTGATTTGACTCGTGGGGTCTGGTTCTGAGAGGGTCTGAATCAATACTGGCACTGCACTGCCTGAATTGTGTCTGTTGATCTAAATGTGAGAGTCTTATCTGCTAATCTGTGTTTTACTTCTGCTGCCAGTTTGTGAAAGGCTTTCTCTGCCCATCCGAAAAGTTAGCCGTCGCCTTCCTGCAGAGGTGTGGTTGCTATAGCAGGGGCGTCATGCGTGGCTATTCCATCAGAGGTCCCACTGAGAATAGGGAACGGGTCAGGGGGGCTGACGACAGCCAAAAAGTCCGGATTAGATGCCGGGACAAAGCCAGGACAGGAAGATTCCAGAAGGAACAAATGGGAATTACAGCAGCAAAAATAATGCAAAGTGACAGAGAGGGGAAATAGAAAAATAATGGCTTACAAGATTAGAACGGGTGGGGAAAAAGGAGGTGAGAAGAAAAGAGGCGGATGAAAGGGAATGTTTTCATTTGGATGAGAAGGATACTAAGAGCAGGGCGGCGTCGAGGTGAGCGGGCGAAACTAGAAAGTGTTACCACCGCTCAATAGGGTTCATTTCCTGTGCTTTCCGGCCTTTTTTGCCCTGGAGTCTTTGACAAGGATTCACATTGTTGAATGAACATTTGATTCAGACTGAGTCATGACAGATTCATTATTCTGTTTGACTTGTTTGACTGATCCGGCATGTAACTGGTTAATCTAGTCAAAATACTGTGTCAGCCATCTTTTAATGTGAAAGTTGTGAGTGTTTGGATGTGTTTAGACAGCAAAAACCCCATAAATATGAAAAATCATCTTGTTATTGTTACCAACTCATCTTCTTTACAGATGTTTTACAGGATCATATCACAGCGCTGTGGTCTTCATGCCAAAAATTACAGCCATGCTAATCTTCAATGCTTGCTCAATACTTGATTTGTGGGGGAAAAATAATTCTATTTTCACGTGATTAATGAAATCTGTATGGACGAAATTACTTGAACAATTGGGAGTAACCACAACAGATCAGGCTGTGTTTAAACACAAAATGATAAAGGTGTGTTCCATAGAAATATTCCTTCGCTCAGAATGGAGAAAGGAGCCAGGTAGACGGATAACCCACGGACACAAGAGAATTGTTGGCATGCCAACAGTTTAGTTAGGATTAATAGTTTTCCACTGGCAAATAAAACATTTCTAATCTTCTTATTGTCCCACAATAAATAAAAGATTATGAGCTTATGTACAGCCTGCTAATGCCAGTATCCATATTGTTATTCTCCCAAAAAAAAAGGGGGGTTTTGATCCCAAAGATCCCAAAATATGATGACCCCCTTGTGAAGGAGTTAAAATAAAAATCCCATTTATTATTCCCATAAATAGTAAGCATAACATTATTAAGAGAACATGATGTTAAATCTTAAATAATTGATAAGACAAATTAAATAACTATGTATTGTCAAGTAACTATAAAAGTATTACTAACTCAAGTTAATAATTACATAATATAAATATATAGTATAAAAATAAAAATAAAATCTTGATTTGACTTGATTTTTATTTGGGTTTTTTACATGTATTTTAAGTTTTGGAATACCAGTTTGAAAATTTTAATATAAATATAAGCTAAATATAAAATAGAAACTCATTTAAATAAAGTAAAATACAGTTTAACAGAAACTGTAATGAATAAAATGGTATATAATGTAGTACATAAAACCTACAGTATCTACCAATGAGTATTTGCCAGTTATTTTCCAACATAAGTAATGATGCTGCTCCATAAATGACAAGGCAGTTCCACTGGATGCCACGTAGGTTTATTCTCATGACATCTCAAAGAACGCCCATAGAAACTCTGACATGCAAAACAACAGTAGCGACCAAAAATACCCAGCTACACTCTTAAAAATAAAGGTGCTTCTCCGACAAACAGCGATGCAGCTGGTCGTGTGTCCAGCAGGCTGTCATTATCAGTCCCCCATCACCATCTCACAATGAAATTACCATCACAAAACCCACCATATTTACACATATTCATCTGAACTCATATTAACACATATTCATCACTGTCAACCAACCCTGTCCACCATCAACAGAATATGATGATGGGCATTCTCCCTGACTCTCCCACCCGATGAACAATGCCACAGATGAAATGCAGAGATACGCACAAGCGCCGGGCAGCTGTCCTACCAGCCAGAGCAAACAAAAGAACCAAGGCTAATAAATCAGCTTTTATGGGCTGGACACTGTCATACACCCGCTTCCTGTAGAGGTGGGCTCCCGCTGAACCTCACAAGATGAGAGCGAGAGGGTAATATCTCTGCCTGTAATGAAACCAAAAGGATTTTATCGACACCGTTAGGAGGAAATGAAGGCTGCGGGGGTGGCTGCGGTCTGTTTGTAAACAGACATGTATTGTGGCATAGCATATGATTTTAGAGTTTATCTGACAGGAGATCAGTTCACCAGCAACATTGTGTAGATTTGCATTAAATTTGAGTGAAAAAATGTTACTTTTTTTTTTCTATTTTAATATTTTATGCCTTTTTTTCTCTGATCAATATGTTGTTGTATAGTTACAAAAATGTAGAAATCGCTATTTTCCTTTTGATTTCACGAGCAGCATTAACCAATCTCTCACGAAACAAAATGCAAACAGATTTTAAGCCATCTCTTCTCTAAGAAATAACTTCCCGTTTCAGTAGCATTGTGTGAGTGGCGGTGGAGCCTGTCTAATCACTGCAGTGAGTGGGGTAAAGCCAGTGGAGCTGAGGGCCCACGCCACTGATTGAGGTTTGCTGGTGCGTTGGGTCGAGAGGTGATCCCGTATTTCCTCCCATTGGGTTCTGCTGAAGCGTTGAGGAATTATCCAGGCTGCATTAACAGATGAGCCAGTGTCAAAGCAGATCGCTCAGGGGCTCAACCTCATGCCCCCTGCCCCCTTAATCACCATATATATATATATTTCAAATTACCCGTTGAGCCTTCTTTTCATCAAAGAATCCTGAAAAAGAAAAAAATGTATAATGGTTTCCACAGAAATATGCAGCAGCACAACTGTTTTTTTTTTTAATAAGAAATGTTTTTTAAACAGCAAATCAGCATATTAGAATGATTTCTAAAGGGTCATGTCACACTGATGACTGGAGTAATGGCTGCTGAAAACTCAGCTTTGCCATCATAGGAATAAATTACATTTTAAAATATATTAAAATCGAAAACAGCTATCTTAAATTGTAACTGTTTTAGAGTTTTTCTGTTTTTACTATATTTTTGATCACATAAATGCAGCCTTTATGAGCATAAGAGACTTCTTTCAAAATCAAGAAATAACTTCCCGTTTCAGTAGCATTGTGTGAGTGGCGGTGGAGCCTGTCTAATCACTGCAGTGAGTGGGGTAAAGCCAGTGGAGCTGAGGGCCCACGCCACTGATTGAGGTTTGCTGGTGCGTTGGGTCGAGAGGTGATCCCGTATTTCCTCCCATTGGGTTCTGCTGAAGCGTTGAGGAATTATCCAGGCTGCATTAACAGATGAGCCAGTGTCAAAGCAGATCGCTCAGGGGCTCAACCTCATGCCCCCTGCCCCCTTAATCACCAAACTATGATGGACAAGCACATGTAAAGACATTCACTGTGATGCCTACTGATGCTTTACTCTTACTATATTTTTAAATCTCTTTAAAGGGGTAGTTCAAAAACATAATTAAGAATTATGACTTTTATTTGGCAAAGACACATTAAATAAATAAAAAATGACAGTAAAAATGGTTATAATATTACAAATATTTGAAATATTATATATATATATATATATATATATATTTCAAATTACCCGTTGAGCCTTCTTTTCATCAAAGAATCCTGAAAAAGAAAAAAATGTATAATGGTTTCCACAGAAATATGCAGCAGCACAACTGTTTTTTTTTTTAATAAGAAATGTTTTTTAAACAGCAAATCAGCATATTAGAATGATTTCTAAAGGGTCATGTCACACTGATGACTGGAGTAATGGCTGCTGAAAACTCAGCTTTGCCATCATAGGAATAAATTACATTTTAAAATATATTAAAATCGAAAACAGCTATCTTAAATTGTAACTGTTTTAGAATTTTTCTGTTTTTACTATATTTTTGATCACATAAATGCAGCCTTTATGAGCATAAGAGGCTTCTTTTTTCAAAACCATTAAAAAAATCTTACTGACCCCAAACTTTTGAACAGTAGTGTAGGTTTAGATCTAAATTTTGACCTCGTTTGTGTCTTTCTAGACAGATTTTTCAAGCATTTACACATTTCTCTCTTTCTCTTTGTGACTTTCTCAGGTTATTTGCGACCAAATGCAGCGGGTGCCTGGAGAAAATTGCCCCCACGGAGTTTGTGATGCGGGCGCTCAAGTGCGTGTACCACCTCAACTGTTTCTGCTGCTGTGTGTGCGACCGACAGCTTAGGAAAGGGGATGAATTTGTACTGAAGGACGGGCAGCTGCTGTGCAAGAATGACTATGAAAGGCAGAAAGACCTGCTCGGCTCTGTCAGCCCCGATGACTCGGATTCAGGTATGAATACAGGCTAATCTACACACCACAGACCATGATGCCAGTGTATTCATGAACATATTATTAGGGGAGACATCAGAAGACTTTCTTTGCTCTACAAAACACAGAAGACGATATTGAACAACTTTTTTGTTCATACAATGAATGCCAAAACAACACTGACTTTCATTGTATGGACAGAAAACACTAAGACCGTTCTGTTTTACAGGAGTCAAAAGAAAGGGAAGAATATGCACAGAAGTGTAGAATATGGCCCCTTTAATCAACAGTCAGCAGAGGAAGAGCAGTTCTGACAAAGAGAAGCCACACTGTGCTGTCTGATGTGGCCAAGTTAAGTTGCTGGAAAGAAGAAGAGCTTGAATGTGTGTGAGTGAAAAGAGGGATTTCAGGCCCTGCTCACCAGCAGCCTCTCACTGCTTATCAGGACTCCTTTTCCCTCACTTCACCGTAATGAGGCATCTCACTTCTACCAATCCCCATGTGGATTGCATTTAAACACGCACACATGCACACAGCCCACTCTCTCAAACACTGAGAAGTTTGTCAGATGCTTCAGCAAGACTGCGTCAACTTTCTGTGATGTTTGTCTCTTTTCTATTCTTCGTTTATAAGTTTTGCGTTTCTAAGTTGACCTGAAGTGGAGTGTAATGGCAAGGAATTTGTTTAGTTTGCAGCACACCACTCTACTGGCAGAAAAAGAGATCAGAAACAGATGAGAGAGAGGACCGAATCAGCCCATCATGTTTGTGTCTCCCGCTTAAAAAGGCCAAACCATTCGCAGGCCTAATCGCCAGAGACGTTCACTGCTGATGCCACAAAAGCCATAGTGCCAAATTGCAGAAGCCCTTAATCTCGAAAAACAGTCACGCTGGGAACATGCCCATTTGGGTTTTTAACTTTTGAACCAGGCCACGTTATGGAGTTTGGCACCTTTTTTTTAATTACTATTATTATTCTATTAAACACAAGCTGATGTGGCTTATTGGATGAAACCTCCACCCACTGAACAATAAAGCTAATCCCCCGTTTGACTATAATAATTACAGTAGGAAAGCCAGGAGCCATTTTGTGAATATGGCACATTAGCTGGACCTACTGAGAGAGATTATCACGACACAGGGCAGGCTTGATTAACCCGCCCGAGGATCACCTTAGACTAATTGAGACACTTTGATTAGTTCATATGAACAGGCAGTGTAAATTGTGTGATATGAGGTGAGATATTGAACTTTATGGATTGGCGAGCTTAAATTCTGCTCACGTAGTTTGATTTGTACAGGCTTTTTTTGCCCAAGTGTTCTTTTTGCAAGCATGTTCACTTCTTGACTTTGTGGTTTTGCTATCTTTTTCACTTCCCCTGGATAATAGACCTCATTTCCCATATGTAGTCCACGTTCATTCCTTCCCCAAAACATTGCATTCGCTGTGTGTTGGATTCTTATCAAAGATTTATGTAGTGTAAAACAGCCAAAGCCTTGCGCTATTAATTTTAAATGACACAATGTCCAGTCCAATGACAAATTCACATACTTCACAGTCAGAGTTGCCGTTTTGCAGTGGATGTGGCCCACTCGTGCACTAATAAATTGATAACAAAAGTATTAAAACCACATGTGTCTCCTTTCATTGTGGATGCACTGTGACTGAATCTCCTAAAATTTATCATTAGGTTGTCTAAAAAGTTGCAGAGTTTTAAAAGTAAGTACTGATTCCTGTGACTGATGGATTTTTTTCCAGAGAAAAGTGAAGATGAGGAGTTGGATATCAAGAAGGAGAAGGGCTCAGGAGGCACTGGGAAGAGAGATGATGGGAAAGACCCAAGAAGACCCAAGCGACCACGTACCATCCTTACCACACAACAGAGACGTGAGTTCAAAGCATCCTTCGAGGTTTCTTCCAAACCGCACTGTGACTGAATCTCCTAAAATTGAAAAGAACAAAAACATCTATTTATCATTAGGTTGTCTAAAAAGTTGCAGAGTTTTAAAAGTAAGTACTGATTCCTGTGACTGATGGATTTTTTTCCAGAGAAAAGTGAAGATGAGGAGTTGGATATCAAGAAGGAGAAGGGCTCAGGAGGCACTGGGAAGAGAGATGATGGGAAAGACCCAAGAAGACCCAAGCGACCACGTACCATCCTTACCACACAACAGAGACGTGAGTTCAAAGCATCCTTCGAGGTTTCTTCCAAACCCTGCCGGAAGGTGAGTTCCTCTAGATATCAGTTTCCTCAATCTCTTGAGCACCATCTTTCTATAGAAGTAATTTGCGACTAGTAGTTTAAAATATGAAATAGTGGCACATTGTGGGATATAAATTTGCAGTTGTGATATCATAATCATCTAGAAATAACGTTTCAATAAGATATGAAGTTAATGACGCAATTGTGAGATATGAAGTTGCGATTGGAATTTTTAGTCGAGTTGTGATATATAGTCACACTGTAATACATAGTCACATTGTGACATATAAAGTCACAATTACAAGAAATAAAGTTGCAATTGTGAGAAATAGTCAAAATTAGAAGAAATAAAATCACAGTTGTGGGATATGAAGTCACAGGTATGAAATATCAAGTCGCAATTACGTTAAATAATATGAGAAAACGTCACAATTACAAGATATGCAGTTGCAATTGCAAGATAAAAAGTCACAATGTAACAGAGATAGTCACAATTACATGGAATAAAGCCTGTTACTAGTTGCAATTAGCATCGCAATTGTGAAATAATATGAAGTTGCAATTAAGATTTGAAGTCACAATTTTAATATATAATTACTGTAACATTGTGAGATGAAAATATTATTGCAATTGTGAGAAATGGTCACAATTGTGAGAAATAGTTGCAATTATGTTAAAGTTTTGAGATATGAAGTTGCAATTATGTTAAAGTTTTGAGATATGAAGTTGCAACTGTGAGATGTAAAGTCACATTGCAATAAATAGTCAGATTAACAAGGAAAAGTAGCAATTGTGATATATGAGGTTGCAATTGTGAGGTCAAACTGCACTTACGAGAAAGTTTTGAGATAATCGATTAAGTTCTAAGAAATATATTTTGAGATAAAGTCACAATAATGAGAAAAAAAATCTGTTATTTTTTAAACACTCTAAGATGGAAATGGGATTCCATATATTACACAGACTCTTCACTAAAGAAACAAATAATTTTTGTTGTATAATCTAGGTAAGAGAGACGCTGGCTGCAGAGACAGGCTTGAGTGTTCGCGTCGTTCAAGTGTGGTTCCAGAACCAAAGAGCTAAGGTGAGTCCAGACCCTGTACACTACCTTATTAATCATCCAGTATTACCCGCACAAACCTGATAATGTACATCCAAGGACCAGATAACACAACAATTTTCAAGTAATCCTCCAGCAATGCACTAAACTCCTCGCAGCCGCTGCCAAAAGGGAAAAAGCAAGCGAGGCTCGAGACAGAATCTTCAAGCAATCTGCCTGAAGCTTAACCTCTCGACGCATTCCACAAAAAACTCCCCAAGAGTTCGAGAGAGATGTATTCACATCCATCCTGCTCTTACGTTAGTGTCTGAAAGCCACCTCAGAGCCCTGATTTTATCTTCAAAAGGCTGTGGATAATATAATGCAGCCAGATCAAGCTTGGCGTAGTTCAAGCAGAGGTGAACAACAAGGAGCATCTCTCTTTAGATAGGCGAGAGTTGGTCTGGGGAGTCGCAAAGTTTTCTGATTGTGCTTTTATCGTTATTTTTTTCAGATAAAAAAGTTGGCGCGGAGACAGCAGCAGCAACAGGAGCAGCAGAACTCCCAAAGGCTGGGCCAAGGTAAAAATGTCCTGACATGAACCTGAAGGCAACCACATCAGTCCGAAATATGACTTTAAGACGGAAATCAACATGAATAAATAGCATCTATCTTCAATCTGTTGGTGTTTTTTGCGTTTTCAGAATTCTGTGGAATTGAGTTTTACTTATTAAAATGTTTTAAATGCAGCTGAGAATACTACAGTCAGATTAGCCAAAACATTTACTACTTGTAGAATGACGAACTTCTATTTTGTGTAAATCGTACAAGGTTTTCTGCAGATTTCTGCAGGCGGAGATTCCGTGTGGGCCTTCTTATAGGCAGTTTTGCTTCATAACTTAGACCTTGTGGTCAAAGTTACATTTTTAAAAGAATATCTAAGGGTAGAAAGTGAGGTATCCCAACCGACCTCCTTGCACATCACCCCTTGTGGTGTGAGTCGTGTCCACCCTCTCAAAAACAGGGCGAGCGACACGGGCGATGACCCCTGGTTGCTGTAGATTAGGTCGAAGAACGCGTGTAGCTTTTGTGTGAGGGAGGAAATGTGGAGATGGATGAATTCATTTACAACATAAGCTCATTGAAGTTGCCTCCACTTTGACCGATCCACCCACCCCGTTCCCTCCTTTGCTGGAAGCGACCCAGCATCACGGTTTCAGTAAAGCGGTTGTCTCAAGTTGCCATTCAGCCGGGCGCAAAGGATGAGCCATTGTATGTCTGTGATCTTCACACTCATGGAGTTCACGGCCTTCACATTTATAAGACAATCTGTTTCTGGTCATGCTTGGCGACATTCCATGTATTAATACCGTTTTTTAGGCTAATTTTTCATTTGAGAGTGTTAAAGAGCTAATCCGTCAAGTGGCGTCTTTTTTCAACAGTTAATATGTTGCTGAGACGATCCAACTGAGCTTCTGTAACAGATGAGTTTGGATGAGACTGTCTGGAAAATAGAAACGTGTAGAATATTATTCCAAGCTCTATGGAGGAGGACAAATGTTTCCTCTACAGCTCAAGAGTCTTAATTCCTGTACAAATATTTGTTGTAAGGCAGTGGAGTCCATTCCTCAATCAGTCATATTTATTTCTTCACTCTCTGCGTTTGTCTTTAGAGACTGTGGAAATAACCATAAAGCAGTTTAAATACAGAGAACACATTTTGTGTTGGATAAAAGTACTTGTACTTAAGGGTAAATTTTAAAAATCAAAACAGTTAATTCCTACTATGTTGTATGTATATGGCTAATGACATTGCTTAATACAGAGCTGAAATTTAATGTTAGCTCATAGTCTATTTACATTTTAAATCCTTAAAGCAATATATAAAAGTATTTTTTTGTTGTTGAACTTCCTAGAGCTGCATTTTAATAATCAAGCATGTTAATTCTACTGAATATATGTATATTGCTTAATATATTTAAGACCTGTTAGCAGATTTTATTTGCATTTTAAATCCTTCAAGAGACATATAAACACATTTTTTGTTGTTGTTTGAGATAATAGCTAGTCTTCCTATCTTTATTTTGTGGAAAACTGAGGGTTTATACTGACATTTTATTGCTGAACAGACCCCCTTGTGCCCGCTCTCCTGCAGAGCCATAATCCAAGCGATCATTGAATCATCTTCAGCGATAAAGGACAAGCAATAATATTTTTATTTTATAGACCGATGTTGGACTATTCTCACGATGCATTCATTTATGGAGCTTTGACTCTGCTGTGTAGAGCAAAAAGATCACTGTCGAACAAAACAGAAGTGTAAAGTCATCACATTGACACTAGTTTCTCTCTGTTTGCTTCAGCACTTTTGTGGCCTTTGGCTGTGTCACATTTAATGGGATAATTCAAATCAGATAGTGATCCATCTTTGGTCATGAACCTTACCCCTCATGAACCAATAGAAATGTTTTCTCAGAGAAATGAAAGAAAACGATAGGGTGATGGAGACGCACGCTCGAGAGAGACAGCTAGGTGTAGATGAACTATTCTGGTGGTCTGAGATATTGAGAAGTCTTGTAAAGTCAGACTCCCCTTTGGGAAATACCTTAGCGGTCTTGAGTAGTCCGTGATGTCATGAATCATGAAATTGGGCTGGAATATGTCATCCAATGGAGCCCCATGGTTAATACATAGTTATATTTGTTATCGTAAATCCTATCTGTCTTGGTTATAAGTGTCAGCTGTCCAATAGTTTCAGCTGTGGGGCCAGTGATTGGTGTGAAAACATTCTAGAAAAGGCTTTGCTGCGTCATGTTGTTTTAAAAGTTGTAATGCTACCTTACAACTTTATATATTTGGGTCAGTGGCAGAAAGAAAAGAAAAAACAAACTTTTATGTTGAAAAAAAGAAGAAGCTCATAGACATACTTTATGGATGGTCATGAAAACCTTTATGCCATTTTCACTAAAAGTGTCACTAAAATTTTAAAATGTTAATGTTTTTAAAGGGGAAAATTGTGTTATAAATATCCTAAATTACTATATTTATATTACCTTTTTTGAAAGTTGCACACTTGACATTTTATAGTCTGAAGTTGCCTTGTCTTGTTATAAAAAGGTCAAACTATTTGCTATTTTAAAGGACCTATTCGTATTCTCTATTATATCATTTCCTGTTTCATTCATTCATTCATTCATTCATTCCTGCATGTTGATTGGACCAAAAGTTTTTAAAGATATTTTTAAGCTATGAAGCAATTTGTGTATGTGTATATATATATACACTCTAACAAATGCTGGGTTGTTTCAACCCAATTTTGGGTCAAATATGGACTAACCCAACTGTTGGGTTAAATTAATAATCAAGCATGTTAATTCTACTGAATATATGTATATTGCTTAATATATTTAAGACCTGTTAGCAGATTTTATTTGCATTTTAAATCCTTCAAGAGACATATAAACACATTTTTTGTTGTTGTTTGAGATAATAGCTAGTCTTCCTATCTTTATTTTGTGGAAAACTGAGGGTTTATACTGACATTTTATTGCTGAACAGACCCCCTTGTGCCCGCTCTCCTGCAGAGCCATAATCCAAGCGATCATTGAATCATCTTCAGCGATAAAGGACAAGCAATAATATTTTTATTTTATAGACCGATGTTGGACTATTCTCACGATGCATTCATTTATGGAGCTTTGACTCTGCTGTGTAGAGCAAAAAGATCACTGTCGAACAAAACAGAAGTGTAAAGTCATCACATTGACACTAGTTTCTCTCTGTTTGCTTCAGCACTTTTGTGGCCTTTGGCTGTGTCACATTTAATGGGATAATTCAAATCAGATAGTGATCCATCTTTGGTCATGAACCTTACCCCTCATGAACCAATAGAAATGTTTTCTCAGAGAAATGAAAGAAAACGATAGGGTGATGGAGACGCACGCTCGAGAGAGACAGCTAGGTGTAGATGAACTATTCTGGTGGTCTGAGATATTGAGAAGTCTTGTAAAGTCAGACTCCCCTTTGGGAAATACCTTAGCGGTCTTGAGTAGTCCGTGATGTCATGAATCATGAAATTGGGCTGGAATATGTCATCCAATGGAGCCCCATGGTTAATACATAGTTATATTTGTTATCGTAAATCCTATCTGTCTTGGTTATAAGTGTCAGCTGTCCAATAGTTTCAGCTGTGGGGCCAGTGATTGGTGTGAAAACATTCTAGAAAAGGCTTTGCTGCGTCATGTTGTTTTAAAAGTTGTAATGCTACCTTACAACTTTATATATTTGGGTCAGTGGCAGAAAGAAAAGAAAAAACAAACTTTTATGTTGAAAAAAAGAAGAAGCTCATAGACATACTTTATGGATGGTCATGAAAACCTTTATGCCATTTTCACTAAAAGTGTCACTAAAATTTTAAAATGTTAATGTTTTTAAAGGGGAAAATTGTGTTATAAATATCCTAAATTACTATATTTATATTACCTTTTTTGAAAGTTGCACACTTGACATTTTATAGTCTGAAGTTGCCTTGTCTTGTTATAAAAAGGTCAAACTATTTGCTATTTTAAAGGACCTATTCGTATTCTCTATTATATCATTTCCTGTTTCATTCATTCATTCATTCATTCATTCCTGCATGTTGATTGGACCAAAAGTTTTTAAAGATATTTTTAAGCTATGAAGCAATTTGTGTATGTGTATATATATATACACTCTAACAAATGCTGGGTTGTTTCAACCCAATTTTGGGTCAAATATGGACTAACCCAACTGTTGGGTTAAAAAGTTAATTTAAAAATGTAACCAAAATTTAACCCAACAGTTGGGTTAGTCCATATTTGACCCAAAACTGGGTTGAAACAACCCAGCATTTTTAGAGTGTATATATATGTTTTAATAAATACATTTTTAAATAAGCATTGTTATAACCTTTTTTATTTAAATGTATTGTTATTGATTTTTTATAGCTTTTTATTTTTCATTTTTATTTATTTATTTGTGTTTATTTTTTTAATTTGAGTTTTTTTTATGATAGTCAGTTACTTGAAGAATCATGGATTATGGGTTAGCAAAGTATCAGTGTGGTGAAACTCAACATCAGATGTCTTTGCATCAGAGCAGAAGATGTAATGGAAACTTGTGGAAGCCTGTAGAAATGAATTGCAGACATCTTTCTTGCGAGAGCTCACCACTCAAAAGCAGAGGGCTGAGATGGTGGGCTCCAGACTGGAAGCCACAAGAGTCATTCCTAGCCCTCGGCATTGAGTATGACTCATAGAGTACTGCCCTATAGGGCTGGTGTCACAGCGTCTTCTCCCGCTACAGATCAAGAGTGTTTCTTGTTTGTTGGTTTTCGTGAAATTCAACTTGATTTCGAGCGCAGATACCAGACCCAGCCTTGATTTTTGGAGAAACCCAATCCACTAGAAAGAACAATTCTTACTAAACGAAGCATTAATGTTTTGCATTATGTACAGTTGTTAAAGTAACTACGCTCTCCAGTTCACAGAGATGATGTCAGTCATCCCTACCGTGAGAATATCTCAAAGGCTGATCAACATCTACTTTTTTTCCCCCCATTCCAGAGGTGATGTCCAATCGGATGGAGGGAATGATGAACTCCTACACACCATTGGCTCCAGCCCAGCAACAGATGGTTGCTATGGAGAATGGTTACAGCACCGATCCCTTCCAGCAGGGCCTCACCCCTCCTCAAATGCCCGGTGACCACATGAACCCATATGGTGAGCATCAACCCATGAGCTCTGTCATGTTTGCTCCCTGAAGCTGGGGCATGTGTTTGGACCACAAGGTTCACAGAATGCAACCATACCACCCTTCTTTCCTCATGAGATTACACAAACGCACCACTTTATTTTGAAGTTTTCCTTCCAAATGAATTCAGTGTGTTTCAAAACCATACTCGCCCCATCCACTGTTCCCAGAGCTACCCATTTGGTTTATTTGCCCGGGTCTCATACGGATTAATGGTGTAGTCTGTTATGCTGTGTGACACTATCTATTGGATTTTTGTTAAAGAGCCGAACGATGATCTGTGGTGCGCCATGTAAAACAACAATGGTTAACCATGATAACTGACGCACAAAGAACCATGGGAAAGCATCCATGGGTCTGCTAGCAAAACAACACACTGAGCAAAACCATTGAGTGCTTGCCATATTCGTCAAATTTTGGTATAAAGTTTGGGTAAGAAGCGAACTATAATTCCTCAGAGTGACGTTGTTTCTGCACAACTCCAGTTGTTCTCAATATTATTGACATTAACTTCAAGCATTAGCCACATAAATCTGGAGACATCGGTCACAGGCAGCCTAAGAACAGGTCCCAAGTGTCTTGTCATTCATTCTCCTGAATGGCAAGGCCCAAATCCCCGGTCTCATCACACTCCAGCTTGGATTTTATGGGAGAACAGCAGGGACAGACAACATTGCCAGCTCATTAAAAAACCATAGCCCATCAACCTGTCACTGTCTTGCGGAATGGTGTCATTAAGTACTAAAAAATCACAATTTATTTTAATACAGAAATTAAAAACATGATCATCACAAAAGAGGTGTATTTAGGTCACTGTATACATGAGTGTTACTTTTAATGTATTTTTGAATAAATCAATAGATTCAGACAAAAAAGAGCATCATATTGACCATCTCTTTTCTCTTACCACAGGAAATGACTCGATATTCCACGACATTGACAGTGACACTTCATTGACCAGCCTTAGTGACTGCTTCATGGCCTCGTCCGAGGCGGGCTCAATGCAAGCGAGAGTCGGGAACCCCATCGACCGACTCTATTCCATGCAGAGCTCCTACTTTGCTTCATGAAAACCTAAACAGACAAGGAAAGGCAAAAGTGGGTCACTTCGCTGCAGCTCACTAGTCAGATGCCGCCTATCAAGGAAATACAGCAGAATCGTCAACAAAGCTCAAAGACGAAACATCTTAGATAGACAAACAGGAAAGACAAGTGAACTTGAAGACTTACGTCCTTATTTCTCTGCAGTGAAGCGCCAGCTCTGGATGCCCAGGCGCCTGAGGCTGAGATTTTTTTCTAGTTACTTGTAGATTGTTTGTACATGACTTTCTCAGAAGTAGCATTTCATCTTATCCTCATCGACTTGTGGAAAAAAGAGTATTGATGTACAGTTTGACGTCACTGAAGCATCAAGCCTTGACTTATGATTTCCTGCCGGGAGAGGTGGAAGATCAAGTCACAAAGCTCATAATGCATGAATCCATATCTTTGTGATTGTTACATAAAAAAAATGAAAAACATTTGGAAAAAAAAAATTGTAAAAAAAAAAAAATCTTGTGTTGTTCAGATGCTAAAAATGTGATGTTCAGACTCATAATTTCCTCTTTTTCATTATGTTCAGCATTGCATTTTTATCACTTTGATAGGTTAGCCCTCTGAAAGACGACGTAGAAAAGCATAGAGGGGGAGATATGTATAGTTTATCTGCAGTTGTATGTTAGTGCGTGCGTGCCCATCAACCTGTCACTGTCTTGCGGAATGGTGTCATTAAGTACTGGAAAGCGTATTACAGCTAACTGTGCCCACAAGGAAAATGATAGAGCGGGAAGATTAGCTCAGAAGTAAACATTTGCTATTAGCTCGGTTGTTAGTGAGAAACCATTTAGTTTAACAATATCCGATTGCATGGAATGTGGGATCCCATACAAATACATAATTGAACAGTCATTAATTTTATGTTGTTTTTGTGAAGATTGATAGATTCATATAAGGGTCTGTGACTCTTAATCACTATTTCTGTTTTTGTCTTGAAAAGTATTATGTCAAAAAAAACATATATATATATAACAAATGAATGCACAAATATCATTGCTTACTGCATGCCATTTTTACCTTTCCTATAGAAAAAACAACTTATAATTATCTGAAATTTTAAGAAGCTTATTGACACAAACTTATGAGGATCTGCAAGGGTCCTCGCTATATCACTTCCTGTTTTAGATTTATTTTCTATGTATTTCAGGGTTATCATAGTTAACTGAAACTAAATCTAAAACCATAAAAAAAATACATTTTCATTACTCAAAGTAAAATAAATGTTAACTGAAATAAAATAAAATATATAAAAAATATAGACACACAGTATATACAAAAGAACCCCAAAAACTACCAAAAAATTCCATGCAGAGCTCCTACTTTGCTTCATGAAAACCTAAACAGACAGGGAAAGGCAAAAGTGGGTCGCTTCGCTGCAGCTCACAAGTCAGACGCCGCCTATCAAGGAAATACAACAGAATCGTCAACAAAGACAAAACATCTTAGATAGACAAACAGGCAAAAACAGAAAAGACAAGTGAACTTGAAGACTTGCATTCTTATTTCTCTGCAGTGAAGCACCAGCTCTGGATGCCCAGGCGCCTGAGGCTGAGATTTTTTCTAGTTGCTTGTAGATTGTTTGTACATGACTTTCTCAGAAGTAGCATTTCATCTTATCCTCAAAAAGAGTATTGATGTACAGTTTGACGTCACTGAAGCATCAAGCCTTGACTTATGATTTCCTGCCGGGAGAGGTGGAAGATCAAGTCACAAAGCTCATAATGCATGAATCCATATCTTTGTGATTGTTACATTAAAAAAATGAAAAACATTTGGAAAAAAAAAATTGTAAAAAAAAACAAATCTTGTGTTGTTCAGATGTTAAAAATGTGATGTTCGGACTCATAATTTCCTCTTTTTCATTATGTTCAGCATTGCATTTTTATCACTTTGATAGGTTAGCCCTCTGAAAGACGACGTAGAAAAGCATAGAGGGGGAGATATGTATAGTTTATCTGCAGTTGTATGTTAGTGCGTGCGTGTGAGTGTGTGTATGTGTGTGTTCCAGTCTCCTTACCTGTGTGGTTGTATGAGTGTGTCTGTGCGATGGTAAGGTACTGTCATTGAAAGTTCGAACCATGTGTATATATACTTTTCCCAAACAAATCAGTTGTGCATGTTAAAAATGGAGATCATTCTATTTATTTGACTAAAACATGCTTTTGAAGGTACTTAAGAAACTGAAAAGCTTTATTTAAAAAGGAGAAAATCATGTTTAAGTAGCTGACGCATTCATTTCACACCACACTTGTATGTCTTTTAATTAGAAAAATGTATCTTTATTCCAGCAATGTACATCTGCAAAAATGCGCTATTTATTTGTTTCAGCCCTGACATTGCCGAAAAATGCATTTCCAAATGCGAAGATTGCTAATTTGCCAAAGTCTGTTGGTACAATGAATAAAGTCTTTTTCTCCTTGATTTTGTAGCTTCCACAAGACTATTTGAGTACATTGTTTATTATTTACATAATGTACATTTTTCATTTTCTTCTCTTTTAGTTAGTAATATTTATTTTTCTTTTAATTTTAAGATTTACATAAAGGTTTATGTAAAAAGATTACATAAAGATGGGATGGAAACAGGGTTATTATTATTAACTAAAACTAAAACCATTAAACATTTAAACATTACTTAAACATTAATTAAAATAAAATATAAAAAACTTAAAATTATTTTATTTCATCTAGTTGCTAAGGCAACATTTCTCATTTTGTTTAAAGTAGAGATATTAAAATAACTAAAACTAACTACTAACACTTAATAAAAACTACAGTATATAGACATATTTTAACAAAACAAAAATAGAAATGACAAAAACAAAATTAATAAAACTTTAAAATTAAAATAAAAACAGAAAATATAAAAAATAAAATATAATTCAAAATATTAACAAAAACTATAATAGTATATTATTCTAAAATAACATTGTATGGAAGCACCACCTTACTTGTAAATTATTTTTGCACTATTCTGATTTTTCATCATTTGTATTCTTATTTATATTTTTAATAAGTAGTGTTTTTATTAATTAAATAATATATATTAAGTGATTAACCAATGGTAACATATGTATTGATGGTATTACAGTAAGGTTCCATTAGTTAATGTATTAACTAACATGAACAAACAATCAACCAACAGTACATTTATTACAGTATTTATTAATCTTTGTTAAAGTTAGTTAATGAAAATACTGTTGTTCATTGTTAGTTCATGTTAATTCACAGTGCATTAACTAATGTTAACAAGCACAACTTTTGATTTTAATAATGCATTAGTACATGTTGAAATTAACATTAACTAAGATTAATAAATGCTGTAGAAGTATTGTTCATTCTTAGTTCATGTTAACTTAAGTAGTTAATGAACCTTATTGTAAAGTGTTACCGTATTGATGCATACACTAAGCCTTAAGTTAAAATAGGCTACACCTTCAAATATAATTATAATAATAATAAAAAGAATAAATAATTAAATAAAACAATATAAAAACAATATACAACTAAAATATTAATAACATACTCAGACTAAACAAAAAAGCATAATGGTGCACACATTTTAATGCATATTCCATCTGTCACACATGCCTAATTATGAAGCCCTGAGTGGACGTTTTCTATAAAGTCAATATGTTTACCGGAGGATATAATTTGTCTTCTTACAACAGGTTTTGAGTTACTGGAGATGGGAACAAAGCTTTGCGAGCATGAGTCACACGTGTTCTCTAGTGTCCCACGATCACGCATCACATGCCACACACTGAGCTCATGCATGTGTGTTGGTACAGCAGTAGGAGCTTTTGCTTTCCAAGTCGTGGAGGCCGTAAATTAATCCAGCGCAGGTTTAGATTCCTCAGCAGGCAGAGGCCTGGAGGCCAGATCTAGTACCATCACTGCAAGTCGGCCCTCTCTGATGATCAGGTGGTGGTATATCTCTCCTCTTATCTCGCTCTCATCTGCCATCACAGGTGTTAGAAGGTGTGGTTGTTCATCTAGTCTCTGTCAGAGCAGGTCTTATCAGCAGATCCACCGCAGGAACCCCGCCAAGCCTGCATCTACAGTGACAACGCAGCTCCTCACATGCAAAGGAGGGGGAAGCGGGTGGCACTCTGTTCGACCCATTGACCTCAGCGTGGCTTCCTCTGGAAATGCATTTCTGTCATTCCTTTCGATACTGACCACCCACTTTTACTCAGGCCTTTGCATTTCAATGAGTAGTGGAATCAATTATTTGAGAATTCAGCTGTGCTAGGACACAAATTGGATCTCAGGTTACACATTAGAAAACACATCTTTTCTCGATGTTTTGGCCTTTTGTCCACACTGAGACAGTGTTGTTGTTTTTTTTATGAAGATGCTCTCCCAACTGGAGTAGTTGTAGTATTTACTGTGAAAACGCAGCATTCGAAAATGGTGATGCATGTTTAGTCATGTGACGCATATTGTACCCACATATGGTTGTACCAGCATTGTATACTTTGTACAAACTTCACCTTCAATCTTCCTGGAAAGATGTCGCAATAGCTGTCCTGCAGCAAAAGATGATGACAACAAAAATGGTTTTCAAGATTGCGTTTTAGTAACATTTCAAATCAATAAAATCTGACAACAATGGCATCATATTTACTATTTCTAATAAACTGTAATATTCAGGCTGGTCTAGTTAAATTCGCATGTGTATTGAATAGAGGAAACAAACACTATCAAAAAGACAACTGGCTCTTTTAAAGTCACAATATAATGGAAGTGGCAGATCTTTCCTTCCGTACTGTGACATACATCCGTGTGAAATGGATTATTGAAAAGAAAAAATGTAGAACAGGGACTTGGGTCAATCTATCGGTTGTTGATTGGATAGAGGCAGATGTGAATGTGAACTTGCGATCAGTTATGGGGGGCTAAAGTTTAATCAGACTAAAGATTGGAGAAATCTAGCATACAGTAAGAAGTATGTTATTTCACCGGAAGATCGAGTTAAATTAAAAAAAAGAAATTAATAAATGAAACATGATAAATTGCATGAATGAAATGCATGTATGGATCATTACAATAGGATCAATAACATGCATTTAGTAAACTGTAAAGTTCCATTTCATTGTGGCTTTAAGTGAAATGAGGGACATTCATTCTTCCTGTATTTCCATGGTTTCTCCCATTCATTTTACAAGAGTGATTCATCTGCCTCTATATAATGTTTCTGGTACATCAGTTCAACAGAACATTCAAAGCTAGGTTAGATTAATGATTCATTTGTGGTTCATTCCTCATCTACCAATAATTTAGTAGTTAAAAACGAATTTAGATAATGTCCCCTCAAGCATCTGAGTGCAGGTGTGCATCATGTGTGAGTGTTCTGAGCGAGTGACACACTACTTCAGGTGGGACTGTGTGTTTACAATAGAAAGAGGGGTCATTTATTAATAATTTATATTTAAAATAAAGGCTGAACTGCATT